AAAGGATTTTGCAGCTGGAATTCCGTTACCAGGTGAATTCCCAGCTGGAATTCCTGCCAGTAAAGGATTTTGCAGCTGGAATTCCGTTACCAGGTAGCTCAAGGCACTGGCCAGCTGCTTGGCCACGGTGATTTTCCAGCCCACGGAGACCCGGCCCTTCTCCCGGCGCAGCAGCACGTCCAGCGGCCCGTGCTCCACAAACTCCTCCACCAGGATGTCTGCGGGGAATGTCCACGGGATGATCCCGCGGGATGATCCCACGGGAGCGGGGAGCCCACGGGAGCAGGGATCCCATGGGAGTGGGGATCCCATGGGATTGGGGAGCCCATGGGAGCAGGGATCCCATCGGAGCAGGAATCCCGTGGGATGACCCCGTGGGAGCGGGGGGGATCCCATGGGATTGGGGAGCCCACGCGATTGGGGAGCCCACGGGATGATCCCACAGGATTGGGGATCCAAGAGAATTTGGGATTCCACGGGAGCGGGGAGCCCACTGGATGATCCCATGGGAGTGGGGAGCCCACGGGATGATCCCACAGGATTGGGGATCCAAGAGAATTTGGGATTCCACGGGAGCAGGGAGCCCACTGGATGATCCCATGGGAGTGGGGAGCCCACGGGATGATCCCACAGGATTGGGGAGCCCATGGGATTGGGGATCCCATGGGATTGGGGAGCCCACAGGAGCAGGGAGTCCACGCGAGTGGGGAGCCCACGGGAGCGGGGAGCCCACTGGATGATCCCACGGGATTGGGGAGCCCATGGACTCAGGGATCCCATGGGAGTGGGGAGCCCACGGGAGTGGGGATCCCATGGGATGATCCCACAGGAGCGAGGATCCCACGGGGTCAGGGATCCCACAGGCTTGGAGATCCCATGGGATGATCCCACAGGATTTGGGATCCCATGGGCTCGGGGATCTCACAGGATGATCCCACAGGATGATCCCACGGGCTCGGGGATCCCACAGGATGATCCCACGGGAGCGGGGATCCCACGGGATGATCCCACGGGATGATCCCACGGGATGATCCCACAGGATGATCCCACAGGATGATCCCACGGGAGCGGGGATCCCACGGGAGCGGGGATCCCACAGGATGATCCCACGGGAGCGGGGATCCCACAGGATGATCCCACGGGATGATCCCGCAGGATGATCCCACGGGATGATCCCACGGGATCAGGACTCGGGGCGCAGGCGGACTCACGCTCGGAGCCGCGCACGCAGACGCCGTGCACGAAGGCCAGGTGGGCGTGGGACACCTGGGAC